GTAAATACCTTTCGGCTTGAGTGCAATCAAACGGCACCAGATCACAGTGTGACATGACACTCGGCCACGAGCCGTCCTGCTACGCGGCAGCACCAATTTTCCAGAGCATCTGAGCTGCACCGTGTGTTGAACGGTCCTAAAGACCTCAGAAGTGCATGGACGATGTCCAGGACCTGGCACAGGAAGGGCGAGATGTAAGGGCAGCAAGGCTTCCGACTCGCAGCGGCAAGGAAAGCAAATTCCAGACTCTTTGATCGGCAAGGAGCGATCAGAATGTCTCAGGTCTGATACGTGCTGGTGAACCCGGGGTGAAACATGATACTTCATGACACTTTCAGCGCAGGGCCAACTGTGGCAGAGACTTCGAAGCTTGCAAGCACGGATGGCTTCCTACGAGCGGAGCTAGAGGCTTCAAGCTCTTGAGGCTCGGCTTGGTCACAAGGCGGTTCTTGAAGCCGTCGGACCAGATGTCCGTTGGCTTCTCGCTGTCGAGGCGCTCGTTCAGGAACTTGAACTGGTCTGCGGCATAGGCTCGGAGAGATTGCAGCTCCTGCTTCGATGTTTGCACACCGCATTCCAGGTGACCGTTCATTGCCGAGTTGGTCACCGCTTGCTCAGCGAGGTTTGCCTCGAGGACATCCATGTCTCCTTTGCATTGCACCAGGCGTTCATCGAGAAGACCCAGCTGCTTGGAAGTAAACTCCCTCAAGCCCTTCAGCTCCTTCTGTGCAGTAGTCAGGCCGCACTCCAAGTGACCATTCAGCACTGAGCTTGTGATGGCCTGTTCCGTGATGGCTGCCTCCATCTGTTCGACCTTTTCGACAAGGGATCTCTCGGCGAATTCAGCGAGTCGATCATCCAGACTCTTGAGCTGGTCTGAGGCATACATGCGAAGGCTTTCCAGCTCCTTTTGTGCAGTGGCAAGGCCGCACTCCAGATGACCATTCAACGCAGAGCTCGTAACGGCATGTTCTGTCATCTCCCTTTCAAGAGCTGCCACGGTGGCCGCTAAGGCATCGAACTGGGTCTGCTGTGCCGCGTCGTGGAGCAGCTTCTCTAGGGTCTGGAGCCGTTCTTCAATGTCAAACCCCACGTCCTCAAAACAGATGAGCCGTTCCCTCCTACACACCTCTTTGACCCCTCGCTGAGTTCAGGGCCGAGTCCTTTGACGATGCTTGGGGAGGCGCCTGGCTCGGAGGATCCCGGAGGCACAGAGCCAAGAAGGTGCTGCGTGCTTCAAGCCCAAGCCCAGGGGCCGCTGCCTTCTTTTCAGGCTCTTCAAGCTTCTGGAGGCGAGCCTCGATCTCTCGGATCTTCTGCCACTCTGGCTTCTCCCCTCAGCAAAGGCAGCACATATATGGTGTTTGGTGGGGCGCTTTTTTCAGCGATGGCACTTGTGTCGCACTTATAACTGAGCCCTCCGCGCAGCTGCAGAAGGCAAAAGCCCTTGGAGCACGCCAAGAAGCGCTCGAAGGTCTCCTCTTCGACCTCACGAGGCAGAGCCACGGCAGTCACGAGCCCTTCCATGGCACTTAGAGCCCTGGTGGGGACTCACTGCCTTCCCATGCGCGTCGTAGAGGTCGTAGGCTTCCGGATGCAGAGAGAGCAACTGCTCGGCCTGGGAAATACATGCAGAAAAAAGGGTGAGTCTTTTGTCTTGCTGCGACTGGGATCTGGGATCTGCCTGTTGGCGAATTCCACCATAGCCAGCGCTGGTCAGCAGCTCGAGACGACGATCGCCATAAGCGAGGAAAAGGGGCACCTCAGCTCCGCAGCGGATTGCGACCTTTCTTTTTTCGGTTCACGCCTTTTATACATTCTGCATGCAGCCCGGCGGCGGGAAGCGCTTGCACCATGAAGCTCTGCTAGATATATGCTTGCTCTAGCACTCTAGCACAGCCCCTTCGTGGCTAATCTGAAGCGAGCCATTCGTGCGCACAGGAATTGGCTTGCAGAGAAGTACTAGATTGCACGGCACAGCCTGGAAGCGTGAGCACCAGCCTGAAGCAAATTTAGCCGGGTTACTGTGCAGCGCTAACGACCTGCTGCTTCCTGAGAATAACAAAAGAGCGAAGCTGCAACCAAAGTCATCCCGTTGTCACACATAAGCCTTGATGTGCAATCTCTTCGAAAACAGATGTCCTCACTCGTCGTCTGGATCGCCAGAGCGTGCCGGAAGGCGCATCTTCCAGCGGCAGATGGGTTGCAAGCGGCAGGCGGACATGATCGCCAAGCCTTGACTCTCCGAAGAATAGGCGACTGGGACCTTAGAAGTTGACAGTCCCAGCAAGTCCGGCTCAAACCATGATTCAAGCTCTTATTAGATGCTTTCCCTCTCGCTCTGCCGAGGCTGGCGAGTCTGAGTCTGATACAAAAGTCAGATCTCGCACGTACCCGAGAAGCAGCCGCCGCGCCAGCGCAGACGCCAGCACCTGATGAACAAGCGGCTCAAGGGCATGCCGCGACTGCGCTACAAAGAGGGATGGCTGCGGAGGCTGCGGTTTGCGTGTGCATGAATCCGACTCCCAACCGGGACACGCATCGCAACACAGTCCTCTGCTCTGGGAATCGTGACAGAGAGCTTCGGAAGTCGTAGACAACCATGCCCACGGATGACATCACACGAAAAGTATGCGGACCAGCACTTCATTCCATATGGCAGTGTTTCGCAAGACAGCTCCCATAATTCATGGTGGGTCGGGGCGAAGATGAGAAACTGGCGAGCCGGCCCCAAGACTGAATCAATAGCTGATTCTGATTCGTCCTCACTCTTCCGGAGCCACTCAGGCGAATGCCGGAGCTGCTCGCTTCAGACGTCGCTCGACTCGCGCGGCTGCGGAGTCACAGCCCTCGAAGTATACCTCCGCTCTAGAGACAGCTGGAAGCTGCTGTGTGCCAAAGTGCCGAGTCCGAACATGTCCGAACCAAGTTGAGCCCGAGGCGATGTAGGAGCCATCTTCAGGTCCGGATGCTTCCACCTCAGAGGGCTATCACCCCGCTGACACAAAGCTTTTCGGAAATGGCGTGCAGGCCTTGGCAATACGTATCTTCACCGGGCCTGCGGTCTTCATGGCCTCCAGGGCGGCGGAGCCCTGCACGTGCCTTGCCGGAGGAGGCGGACCTTCTGCAGCAGCAAAGGCGGGTTCGCCAAGATGAGCTCCAACCTCCGAAAGTATATGCCGAAAACGGTCCTCAGGAAACAATGCAAAGACTGGTGCTACCAAGGAGCTGAAGGGCCAACCTTGGTGAAGCTTTGCTTAACGAGAGGACTGCCAGAAATGGTCGGCGCTTCGAACCCTGAGCACCACACGACTCCTGCCTTTTCGCCTCCAAACGGGCCTGTATCTCGTCCTGAGGGTCCTCTACGAGAGAGTCGAACACCTCCTGGAAGGGGCTAAGCACATCGAAAGGCTCAGCAACAACCTGAGCAATTCTCTAAGTCTAACCTGCCGGAGATGCCTGCACCACCGGTAACGGAAGCTTCACCGCAGGAGCAGGTTCCTCCGGGGGCACAGCCAGCGCCTTGGAGGGCCAGAGCTGAAGACTTCTCGTCTTGCACAGAGGACACTAAAGGAACATGCCAGGCCAGAGCCGTTCCAAGTCTTCTGAGGTTTGTGTATCGATACTGCGACATACGCCGGGCCAGAGCCATCCGAATTCTTCTTTATGGATGTGTCTTGCCATTTTGCGCAGAGGAAGGATGCTACGAAAACGCCGGGCCAAAGCCATCCGAAGTCTTCGTTTGGATGTGTCTTGCCATTTTGCGCAGAGGATGCTACGAAAACGCCGGGCCAGAGCTATCCGAATGCCTCTTTTTGGATGTGGCTTGCCATTTTGCGCAGTGGAAGCTACGAAAACGCCGCGCCAGAGCCAAAACGCCGGGCCAGAGCCATCCGAAGTCTTCTTTTTGGATGTGCCTTGCCATTTCGCACAGAGAGGATGCTACGAAAACGCCGGGCCAGAGCCATCCGAATTTTTCTTTCTGGATATGCCTCGCCATTTTGCGCAGAGGAAGCTACAAAAACGCCGGGCCAGAGCCATCCAAATTCTTGTTTTTGGATGTGCCTTGCCATTTTGCACACAGAGGATGCTACAAAAACGCCGGGCCAGAGCCATCCGAATTCTTCTTTTTGGATGTGCCTTGCCATTTTGAACAGAGGATGCTACGAAAACGCCGGGCCAGAACCATCCGAATTCTTCTTTTTGACTGCGTCTTGCCATTTTGCGCAGAGGATGCCGCGAAAACGCCGGGCCAGAGCCATCCGAATTCTTCTTTTTGACTGTGTCTTGCCATTTTGCGCAGGGGATGCTACGAAAACGCCGGGCCAAAGCCACCCGAATTCTTCTTTTTGGATGTGTCTTGTCATTTTGCGCAGAGGATGCTACGCAAACGCCGGGCCAGAGCCATCCGAACTCTTCTTTTTGGATGTGCTTGCCATTTTGCACAGAGGATGCTACGAAAACGCCGGGCTACCGGTTTCCTCAGCGATCTTGTCGGCCGGGGTCCGCGAAGGCTTTGTGCTGGCAGAGTTTTGCTTTTGAAGTTTGTATTACTGTCAAACAGTTGTCGAATACTGCTTTACTACCTTACTACTTCAGTAGTAGTACCTAAACCCTATAAACCCCAAACCCGTAGTAGCAAGCGTCCTGGTAGTAGACCCAAGTTTTCCCTATTGCCTCTTCCCAACACCCCAGAAGGCTAGGTCCCCGGCTTGTAACTTCGCCTTCTGAGCCCGAAGCCTCGCGACTTTCGCCGGAGTTTTGGTCGCATTTCTCCCTTCTACGGCTTAGGGCTTATAATAGGGTTTAGGGTTTCGACTCACAAACTCGCACAAAGCATAGGGTGTCAGCACTCACACTCGGACATGCCTGGGCGAGGGTTCCTGGTACGACGACGCTCTTTTGGCTTCGGGTTTCGACTCACGCGACTCACGCACTCGCACAATGCTGGCATGGCGTGGCGTTCGAAGGTCTGAGCTTGCTACCTGGACGTCCCACACACACATACACGCCGATAGCCAAACCAGCAATCACCATAACCAACAAAGTACAGAGCTTCGGGGCGGTGTGTGTAGGAGGCTTATTGAGACGACTTGTGCTCAACAGCGTAGAAGACCTACCTTCTCTGGTTTCGACTCACACACTTGCAAAGCAGGCATGGCAGGTGCGTTGTTTTTTGCCTCCCACCTTGCTAGGATCTGCTGGAACGAGCCCGCATTGCAGGGTACAGTGCGGTTTAGGGTTTACGTAGGGTCCAGGGGCATAATAAGCCAAGATGAATCAGCAAAAGTGCCCCAACTTGCCCAAGCCTCGACAATCCTGGGCATGTTTATGCTGTTTGCCAAGCACCGCGCCTGGCACTCCAGTCCAGTACACGGTCGTGAGTCAACCTGCGAACTCATGCCGCAAGCCACGCCAGACTTCGGTCGAAGCAATGAGTTTCAGGCCTTTCATGCCACTGCTCCTGGCCACAGAGAGCACAAAGAAGAGTGCTGCAAGGTCTCAGAGGTGCTTCGGGCCAGCCTGCTGTAGAACGAGCATACCCTGAGACGGGTTGTAGACGGGAGCAGGGGAATCCTGGCTCTGGCTCCAGTCTCTGACAAAACGCTGCACGGGACTCTCTGCCGGCCTCCCAAACTGTGAGGTCCTTCTCGCTGCTCCTTCAAAGGGTCAAAAAGCAGGTTTCACGAAGGGAACCTGAAGTGCAGCCGCCGTGAAGCGCCTCGTGTGCATCGGGAGTCGCTTTCTCGGCCGCCTCGCCGGCCGCCCTTGGACCTGCGAGGCCTGTGCCCGAGCTCCCATGCGGCTCTTCAGCGCGTGCCGTGTGCTGTGTGCTCCTCGACTTCTTTGGCCACGTCTGCAGCCAGCCTCGGCACGACGCGCAGCTGTAACCATGCAGCAGGCCTCAGGCCTCAAATCCTTCTTACAGCCTTCTTTTACTTTACAACGCTGCTTCACATGAGATGTCAAGCTTCGGCCATTCTCTGCGAGCTGGGGCTGGCACGATTCTAGAGATTCTCGGAGTCGCGCGAGAGGCCTGGGACGAAACTCGGTCGCATCAACAACGGCGCAAGGATCCAAGGGCTGAGTGCACCGCACGGACGCGAAGCCTCTTGCATTCGTGTGTAGCTGCATGACACATGCATGTCTTGCAAATTCTGTGGAGGCAAGACAGGGCAGCTCCAGACCTTGCCGCGTCTGCCCTGACAAGAAACTTCAGGACGTCAACTTTAGGGGTAGCCGCTCGCTCTTCACTCCCGCTGATGTCAGAACATGTGCAGTTGTTGCAATTGGGGTTATGACGGTTATGATGGCTTCAACGTCAACTCAGAGCACGCAGAGAAGAAAAGCACAGACTGCCAAAGTGCAACAGCTCGAAGTCCTGTAGAACGGAGGGCGAACCACCGCAGCCGACATTGCATCACGTGCGCTTGGAGAGAAAAGGACTGTGTAGGCTGCTTGCGATGTGTAGGGGAGGCAGGTGCCTCACTGGCAGCACCGTAGCCCTTGTGTTTCCTTAGTGAGGTCTTTCGCTTCTGTCACTGGACAAAGCTGAGCTCAGCTAGCAAGAAGATCTCGTGGATGGTCAGAACGGATGCAATCGGAGTTTAGGCTTGGTGAAACGTAGAAGGTTGTCTCACTCTGAATGCATGGCTTCACAAAGGCTGCGTGCGGCCGGGGCTATTAGCTGCGCACCCACATACACGGAGAAAGACAAGCAATACATCTCTGCTGTCCTCCTTAACTGTGCCGACGATTTTCCCCAGCTCATCTTAATCTTGCATCACCCCACCCAAGACCACTGGGGCACCCACTGGCCATAATGCACACCCGAACACCCAGTACAGTTCTTGCTCTTCAGCGTTTCTTGCTTGCTTTCTTGATCGGGGCATGTTCCGCAGAACCGGGAACATCGGCCGAGGCTGGCCCTCAAATGTAGCAGGGGTAGCAAGACTTACCAGAATCCGGTCCGAAACTTCCGCCCAGTCCCGTGCTGAATCGCCCACGCAAATCTTATGTGCTCCATTTTCGAAGCTGACAGGACTCGCGACAAAGCTGTACAATGCTCTGCAGAAGCCAAGCATATAGCGCTTGCTGCAACTGCGCGGCGGAAAGCTGCTTCTAGGACCTCCAGCAGATGCTAAAAGCATCTGGGAGGAAAACATTAAGGTGAGGAAATCTCAGCCAAGCAGTGACTTCCACAGTGATGCCATTGCCCGCCCAAGATCTGCCACGGCACCAAGCCCAAAAAGCCCAGTGCCCTTGGCAACTGCAAGAGCTCCCGAAAAAACATCTCGCCAAAAGAGCGGCGAAACCTGGACACCGGTCTGGTCCAGCTCACTCCATGGCAGCAGCGACTGAAAGAACAGTATGGCTGCAGGAGTGTGTAAGGACATGTTTGGTTCAACCGAGTGTGCACCTGCCCCTCCAGCTCCAGCAAAGAGATGATTCTGATCCCTTGGAGGATGCAGCCTTGCGGTCATGGCGCGCTCGAGGATGGGAGCCGGGGCGGGATTCTCGGCGCATTCATCACTCAACAAGTCTTTGTAGTCCTCAAGAGCCTCGCACAAGGCCAGGCGGCTGCTTGCCCAGCTCCTGCGTGCTGCTTCGATGTCGTTGACAAAGACTTCGCTGCAATGAAGGCGCGCCCATCGGGCGCAGCAGGCGTGCAGCCATTTTACAGCATCCTTCCACAAAGGCCCGCAGAGCTTTGCATAGGCGACACACAGACGGCCGTGTGCTGACGCATGCTGGCTGTGACAAAACTCCATAGAGTTGGAGAAGGGGGGAGCGGCAAGGAGGTCCAACCAGGATTCTGAACCACTTGGCTTGGACTGCAAGTTGACACCGCACTCCTCAAGGAGGGGTCGCAGGCAGCCAGGAAAGAACAGCAACGCACGCATCAGCCGAGCGTGCGCGCGCAACGCCTGGTCCCAGTCGTCGTCATCCACCCCAGAGAGAATGGGATCCAAGGGGAGGTTGCTGAGAGCTCCCAGATCTGGGGTGCTGCCCTGGCCACGAGCGAGCTGCGTGCAGAGAGCGAGGGAATAGGCGATGTTTGGAAAAGCAAAGCCCAGTTCTGCCGTGTATGGTGTCTGTGGTGTCTGTGATGGTGCCAGGCCATACCGAGCAGGCAGCGTGGCAAAGCTTTCAACGACCTGGAAGCTGCGGGAGCGCAGGCACAAGAAGTCGGCGAAGAGAAGCCCGCGCGTGGGGTCCCTCGGCAAGGTGCACGCCTCCGAGCAGCGGAGAGTGTTGGATAAATTGGAAAAGTCTGAAAAGCCTCGAAAAGAAACCGACGCCGAGCCATCGAAAGAAGCAGCTTGCAAGACTAGTTAAAACGTTTTGGGGCATGGCGGAAAAATGCCGAGAGGCCAGCAGCAGCTTGCAAACTTCCAAAGACGTCCGGTGCATCCCGAGGCCTCTCAGGCAGTGCATGTGACGCCAAAGTGCATTCAGCCAACTCCAGCCCGACCACTCGGACTCGTTCTTCACATCGAGGCGAACGCGCGGTCGAAGAGCTTGAGGCCCCACGCCCGTCGTCTGGAAGGGGGAGAAATCCGGGGACAGGGAGCACTCCAAGGTGTACACAGCACGTCGCACGAACTCCCGAGCTTGTTCGGGCGATCCCTGGTGTCTGTGGAACTCTGCCATGACGAGCAGGCCATCCAGAGAGAAGGAGTTACGCTGTAAATACTGCTGCAGCAACTGGGGGTCTTCCTGGCCAACGATCTGTCGCAGAGCCTTTAAGTCCCGGGAGGACGCAGGCGTTTCTTCGAAGTCAAAGACGGCCGCCCCGTCTTGGTCGACCTTTGCCACCATGCGAGTAGAGTTCTCCGGCTTGGCCCAGGGTTCGTTAGGGTTCAAGGACACGAGGAACAGTCGCCGGTGATGCAGCGTGCGGCCTTCCACGTGACCTCGCGGCCTCGGAGCCCTCCGGCCTGGGCCGCTTTGGCCAACAGAGCACCCGCCGCTTCCGAAGACGCGCTGCCGCTCCGTCTCGGCCGAGAAGTCATGGCGGCACAGGCTCAAAGCGCCGGTCTCGGTCTCGGCGGTCTCGGCGGTTTCAGCCGGAACCTGCGCCTCCCGGCTCTCGTCTTGAGTAGGCTCGGCCTCCTCTCCTTGGCTCTCGACCTGACGTCCCTTTCGGCCCTTTCGGGACCGCCGAGTCTTGCGAGCCTGCGCCTCGTCCGCGCTTTTCGCGACCGCGGCCGAGGCGGGTGCGGGAGAAACCTGCTAGACTCTGCTTCCTCTGCTCCACAGACTCTTGCACACGGCCGAGCCTCTGCTTCCTCCTGCGACTCCGTGTCCGAGTCCACGAAAGCCCCAAAGGCGGAGGAAGCCTTCCGATGCAGAATGCGAAGACGTGTGCCTTGCGGCAGAAGCTACCACACGGTGACACGCCTTGGTAACCGCTTCAACTTCGCTGTGCTCCTCCTCTTCCTTGCAAGGCACCGTTCACATTTTGCTGTGCCTTATGCCGCGTCTCGCATCGATGCCTCTTCTTCGAATGAGCCACCGTCGCGCAGCTTCTGAAGCTTGCGCACTTGTCGACTTGACATGGCAAGATGTAGCGAAAGAACGAAGCTGATTGCTCTGCTATCTATATCAGCTGTTACAGCAACTTTGCACGGCCAAGTTCCAACTGTCGGCAATGGTTTTCAAGATCACCTTAGCAAATAATGAGGCCTCATATTCATAACGGCTGCAAGAGTGGACAGCCACAACAAGCACAGACCATACTTGGCCAGTGGGTTGACATGTCCCTCTACACGCCCCTTTGTCATGATCAGTGAGGCCTGTCCAAGTTCAAGATGTTCGGCCTAGAAAGGCTAGAACCTGCGGCTGGCCCAGCGGCCAAGCAACAAGCCCGCACAAGCTCGCACAGCTCTCTGAAACCACCGACACCCAGAATCTGAAACTCACACTCAGCCGACTGTCGGGAGGATCAACGCACAGGCTTGAGAACGCAGGCATCCGCCATGTCAAGCAGCGGCACAACAGATCTCTCACGTAGATGCGGCGCTTCAAATCCCGTTCACTACAAGAGTTTCGTCTATCTGGCTACCGAAACCAAGCCAAGATACGCGAAATCGTCTCTCTAAGAACGTGACGGGTGGATCCGAGCTCCAAAAAAGTCGGTGATGCAGTCATTGATTACAAACCCTGCCTGACTCAAAGTGAGGAGGACGAGTCGGGCGCGTTGCAAATTTAAGTTCTTGGGGGTATTGGTGCAGTGTAGCCGCTGATGATGCCCGAAAACCCCAACCTTGCACGCTTTTCTTCCGGCCACGGCCAGGCACGTCACTCGTCGTCCACCCGTAAGCAGTCAATGTCCAGTTCCACAGCAGCCAGTCCTGCAGCTTCGTGCTTCGCATGGATGTGTGGTCGACTACGCTCTCGCTCTGCCCGCGCACTGACGGCCTACAAATCGTGGCTGCACAGTGCAGACAATGGTCACCTCCGGCTCACTGACCTGAGGAACTAGCACGCGAGCACAGGCTTCCTGGCTTCCCTCGCTGGCCGGAACTGATCGGAATGGGAGTGCATACCAAGGACTCTTAATTACCTACAGTTTTATGGGTTCTACCTACTAATTAAAGGGCAATGGCTGCTACTCTGTAGATCAAGAGAGTTACAGGTATGCTTTTAAATGCATTGGAAGCCATGCTTGGACCCTGATGCTGGGGCGGCTTTGCGACCGACATTACACAAGCTGAAATGTCCATTGAGCTCCGTGAGCTGGAAAAGAGGATAGGAGAGGCTGCGAGAGGACCAAATCAATAAGTCGGGAGCAATTAGTCAGTTCAGTCAAAAATCCGCCGGTGCACGTCTTCGCTGTCAGCATTGGACAGCGGGGCTGGAGAAGGCCAGAGGCAGCGATTTGAGCTCTGCTTTTGAGGGCCCAGCACTTTGAGAGTCGGGGCCCAAGTGCTGCTTGCAGGCTTCCATGGCATCCTGAACTCAAAAGCGCCACGAGGTCGCAAAGTGGCCACAGCTGCCCCACGGGGCCTCTTTGGAGATGGTATTCCATCCGCCCCGGAAGGCTTCATAGAGCAAGCGCCATGGCCGGCCAGCATGGCTGGAGAGCATGCCTGCCCAGGCAAGCGACTGCCCGTAGCAGCTCACGGCAACATGCAGAGTCTTTCCCACCTTCTGCCAGACCTTCGCAGCAAAAGCAACACTCAGCTCAAGAACTAGCTCAAGAATTCAAGTTGTGCTGAGCGCACCACTCTCGAAGCTTTCTAGCTTTGGCCGCGTCGATCCATCCACCGGGAGGACCTCAAAAAATGACGAATCGACTTCCCATCGACTCGGCACTCTTTTCCCGTTTTTCCAGGGCTCCGAGCACGGTCGGCGAAGCGCGAAACGAAGCGCCTCGCGGCGCTGGGGCCCAGACACTTCTTTGCCAGCCTTGGAGCCAGGGGAAGACTCTTGGCATTTGGCATTTGGCTTTGGACTGGAGCCGAAATACGAGGCTCCAGCCCGGAAGGCAGATCGGCCTGATGCTGGCAGCGCAGGAAAGCCACCTGAAGCCCAGGCAAGAGTCTGCTCGTGGGTCGCGATGCCGTGGACCTGTGCCTCCTTGCAGACCATGCCTACCGTCAGGAAGCGCCTCCAGCTCCCGCTCCAGCTCCCACTCCATGCTGCGTGCCGCTTCGTCGCTCTTTGGCCGTGCCTCTGAGCTGGGTCGCTGCGCAACTCGGCCAGCTCCGCATCCAAACCTCAAGTGCTTCAAAGCACTGTTGCAAGCGGAAGTTTTCACGAGAGATATTCATGCCATTCTCTGAAGCCTAGGACGAGAAGCTCTCTGCCACTCCCTGCGGACGCTCGGCTGCTTCATCTGTTGTCCCGGCGACCTCCGCCTCGTCATCATGGCGGCATAAAAACTTAGCATGCAGAGCTGAGAAAGCACGTCTCACGCCTCGACCTCAAGCCAAAGCCTCAGGTCTTTCAGCCCTGCGGTTTAAAGCGCCATGTGTCAAAGTCTTCACACTTCACTTCACAACGGTCGCAAAAGTTTCCTCCACCCTCCGCGAACCTCGGAGGGAATTTTGACAGGTCATGCCCGTGACGAGAAACCCACGCTCGCCCTCGCAGTCGTCATCATGCCCCTGCAGGTGAGGCCCTTGCGACGACAGGCGCGACAATCAGATCACGCCTGGGTCTTCTTCTTTCTCTTCTTCGGCTCTGGGTCGCCGTCCTGAAAGCCAAAATCGCAAGATGAAGCCGTGCGAGACCATTGTAGTAATGACACCCATGTCCTGCTGTCTCTTTGGCATTGCGACTGTGTGAAAAGCGCCATTCAGGAGAAGCCGTGTCTTTCTCCAGCTTTCGATGCTCAGGCTGCAGCGAGGGATGCCACAGCCGGGTGGGTCACGACGACACGACGACAATGAAGACAGCCAGGCGATATGGGCAAGCTTTTCTCCGTTTCGCCGCAGTACTTGCCCTAGAGAGAGCATGAGCTCAAGCTACAGCTACAAGTGCTAGGCCTGTCTACTAGATGATTTCTGTACAAGGTGCTATGACTGAGAAGTGGCCACAGGCTTCACATCGTCTGACCACTCGATGATTCAATGCAGATTGTGGAGGGGATCGCGGCATACGTGCGCATTGTGAAGTAGCCTTGCGCCCCCCCCCCCCCCCCCCCCNNCCCCCCCCCCCCCCCCAGCACCCCCTCCGATCACACAGAACCACACCACTACTAAATATACCAATGTCCGCTTTGGTAGGGCCTCTCAGCAGCCCGGAGCCAAGCGATTGCAGGGAACACAAAAACATAACTCGTCAAGGAGCCCTACCATGTGTCACTGCTCAAACATGAACATCTTTTGGCGCCACCTCCGGCGAGAAGGACGGGGGCTGCGCTCCTGTTGCCTCATGTCATCGCGGTTTACCGGACGGCGCAAGACAGCAGACAAGTCGGCATGCTTCCCCCATCACGGAAAGGGACGGTCCGGTATACGCGCGCAGCACCGGGCAGTGTAACACACCGTGGGATGCGACAATACGTCTCATGAGAAGCCTGTGGCCAGGGGCAAGATGTTACGTTGTGAGACGTGCTACTATAAATCACTCTGCGAAGTTCCAGGATATGTCAGGTGACCCTCCAAGAGTTGACTCGTACCTTTCGGATTTCACGTGGATGTGCAGCTTAGCAACCACAGAAAGCAAGGTGAACCTGGCGGTCAAACGCAGCACATACCTTCGGGCACATTTTGTATGGACTCAAGGAGCCACTTGCCGTTGAGGTCTCTGGATGCAGGCATGTGGCGTGGCATTGTGTATATCGCCCGCATCCCAGTGCACTACAGGCTCCACACCTGCACAGAACGAAGTAGGACCGCGGAGGGACTCCTAGCGGTCCTAGCACACTGGAACCTGGCGGGCAAGTCCCTGCCACTGGCGGCTCAGCCAGGAGCTGCGTCGCCGCAGCCTCAGCATCCTGGCATGCCCAGAATTGCGTAGTACATGTCTTTGTTCCACACTAGCCCGGCTAATGTGAACAAGGACGCTGTGACCGAATGAAGCTGCGCTTTTGTAAACGCATTTTACTTACTTCTCGGGAGGTTCTTTGGAACCAAGCTTCACAAACAGCTTGTCTCGCACATTTCACAGAAGAGTACATCAGCAGCACAAAGGGCAACTCCTGCTTGCAGTGCGTTACAAGTCTCATCATCAGTCTGCCTTGCTGGTCCGGCGAGTGATGTGGATTTGTTCCTGTAACTATATATACTGGCAGCAAAAGGCTGACCGTTGCCCCGTCGATGTCATGCCGTGCCCATCTTGCTACAACTACTAACATACGCGGTTGCTTTGGGGACCTTCTTGTTGACCCGTTCGCACACGATCAATGTGCAGCAGAATGTGCATCTATCGTGCCTCTTCGTCGGTTCTCACAGATGACGTGAGCATGTGCTTTCGTGCTGCAAGTGAGCCATGTGCGAAGACCGACGAAACAAGCTGGTAACAACCAGGCTATGCTGAAACAAACGCTGACACGCTGCATTCTCACCGCACGGAACAGCGCACCTCTGCATTCTTGCCAACGAGGAGTAGTAAAGCACACCGTGAATGCGCGAACTGAGTCGACACACGACATACTCGACACAAACATAAACAGTCTACAGGTCACATCTCGTCTGTGATGTCCACGCTCCAACCTGCTGTCTCCGCTGAGGCTCGAGCCCTCGACATGTCCAGGCCTTGGCCTGTATCACCTCCCCAGATTAAGATCTTTGTCGCAGGCAAGCTGCTGTAGTAGGACCTTAAACGTCCAGAGGATGGCGTCTTTAGCGGCACCGAAAAAAACTCTGGTGCAGCCGACGAGCAAGCTCATCCCTTCGGGAATCTGTGCAGAGGCATCCTGGTGAATGGGACTCGCAGGATTTGGCAGGACCCATCTCCCGTCAAACTGATCAAGGCCTGGAAAGTCAGCCAAAGCAGGCTCAAAGCTGCCAGAGCCATGCGGCTAAGCTGCTAGAACGCTCCAAGCCGGGCCACATGGCTTCGGAAGGCATGACATCAAGCACGAGTCTCCTGCCTGCCACCAGCCCAGACTCAACAAACCTGCTGGGATGGCATTAGCTGTTAATCCTTGCTCTTCTTCGCGAGATGTGAAACCATTTACTTCTGTCACGACCTGCCACGCGCTTTTCCACGCTGTGTTTCGTAGAAAGTGGACAGCTGTTCCGAGTTTGACAGCCCAGCAACACTACAAGTGTGGGGCAGCGGGAAACGTCCTGCTTAACCCGCCTCTTGCTTATTGGCAACCAAACCCTTGAACGAGTTCTCTCTTCACAGCACAAGCGCACGTTGCCATTCCTGTGCACTTGCTCAAATGTCCCTGCCCAGAACACACAAATACACCCACAGAACAGAAGACGCAAAGGCCGCATAGCAGCACATTATCATGAAAAATGCTTGAACTTGACTTGAGATCTTTTGCTGCCCACGTCTTCCCTTCTGCAGGTTACTTGGTCTTGTCTGAAGTTGAAAAAGGCCACGGATCATGCCAAGCGGGATGCAAGACTACGTGTGGAGTTTCGTTTTTTGCAAGGGGTAAAGGTTTAGCGTGGCAAGGTTATACTTGGTTCTTCTCGCAGAAGAAACTTGCGCAAGGCCTAAATGCCTAAATGCAGGCTCCGGACCCTTCCCAAGCAGTCTGGAGAAACACCTCTGTCACGACATCTCTGGCCTGCCCAGGCAGGGGCGAGGTGACTTGGACTCGGCTCAAAGGCTCCAAAGGCGCTTCCATCTGTGGATGCTTTTCTCGTGCACGATACAGCTGACAAGTTTTGACCTGGGGTCATGTTGCTGCCCAGCCTCCAAGGCAAACAGCAATTGGCGCAATAGCTGCTTCACCTCCTGTCAAAAAGTAACTGGAAGTGAGGCCGCTGCAGTGCTTTAGCCCCAGCCGCAAGGATCAGCAGTGACAGCACAGCATGTGTCCGCCAGACTTTCACAACAACTATTCGAGCAGTTCATGTCGGAAATACACGACTAGCACAATCATCGATTGGTCATGTCGGCAGGGTCGGGGTGAAACATTGCTCATTGGGAAAAGATCAAGTCCACAGCGGCAGCATATCGGCCGCCCCGTGACTCGAAACTAGCACTAGACCGTCACTAGACTAGAGTCTTAGAGTTCTTTCGTCCAAACTTCACCTTGCAGGTCAAAGCACGGGAAGCAAGCTCGCTGCCAACGAGAACATGTCCAGGCGCATCGGTGCATGCCCAGGAACCGTCGCTCCAGTTGATCAGCAGCTTGCTGCTGGATGCTGAATACACCACCATGCCCTCGTGCCTCACGCCCTCCAAGTCCATGCAAATCCTGCGGGGATCTGACGGTCAACTTTGAACCAAGGCCAAATACAACCCGATGGACAAGAGAACATCCACTCCGGGCATCGCTTCAGACCGTCCTGTCTTCCCCGAGGGCCTTCAACAAGGTTGGTGGGTGTTGATACAGGGGCTGCCATATCATCTTGTTGTCTTGGATTCGACCTGACACCAGGAAGCAGGAGCAGCTCATCACCAGGCGGAAGAACGTGCGAGACAGCTTCCCTGCGGGCAAGTGTCCCAAAAGGCATTTGTCCTACACGGCGGGGAGGGCAGGACGACGGGATCGGGGTTCCCAAGATGGCTTGCAACTCACTGCCCTTTGCATCTTGAGATGCGGCGCTATGCTAGAGAGTTTCAATCTCCTAAAGCCCGGGTTAGAATCAGGAGCCGATCGAAGTCATGAGTTGTCCTGCATTCTTCGCCATCTGCCCTGCAGCGTACCACCGAACAAGCCTGCGAGCACAGGATCGAGTGAACGCGACTTGTGATGTCATGCGAAGTGTCGCCGCTGCCGGCCAGCGGGCCTTGCTTCAAAGGATGTGCTTTCTCTTCCTGTTGAAGTCGGATGGCATCAGCAACGCTCGTCATCGTCTCCACTGTCACCATCTGGCCCGAGTCGGTCTCATCCTACACATTGCACTCGGAAGTGCTCACAACAGCCGGCCCAGGCGACGCATCATTCATCCTTACGCTGTGCGGTCCTCGCAACAAACTCGGCACTGTGCAGCTCCCATGGCAGAAAATTACTACGGCGTGGCGTGACCTCGCCCTACACCTGAGATATGGACAGGGGCGGGCCAAGAATCGGTGTGAGATCGGTCAGAAGTCGAAGTGTCTTGGCTATGAAGGCATCGGACAACTCTCGGAACCGGAACCCCTCCCAAAAGGGGGACCATCTCGGAGCTGCAGCGGAAATAGACAGCGGCTTCACATGACATGGCTTCACGCTTCACGGCTTCTGACTCAAGGGTTCCCTGCAGTCCCTACACAGCATACGAGCAGGCTCCCGGTGGAAGCATCGTCTCCTGTCAGCTGGCCCGGTTTGCCTTATATTCGAAAGCTCTGACATGGATGGATCATCTCTGCTGCAAGGACCGCTTCAATTCGGTTCCGCACGAAGTGGTTGTTCAGAAACTAGGCTTCTTCGGCCTCTGCTTGGCTGCTGCGAGTTCAGGATATCTTGGAGATATGAAGCAAGCTGGAAATCTCGCAGGAGTTGCGTTGTGCATTTGCACAATACCTTTGTGACATGTTCTGGCCAAACTGCTCTCTTCCCTCCCTGTCTGCGGCGTATCCTCACGCTCCTTTCACTAACGTTACATACGGTTACATCGGCCCACGGACGTGCGGGGTTATTGCGCAGACTCCGCTACTTGCCGTGGCGATCTTCGGATGCGATTGACGGAATGTACCGGCCGCCAACACGCTTCCACGTCTGCTCTTTGGCCGCAATCGTGTTCATCCGTAGCATTAAGAGATCGAAAACACTGTAACATCTGGAAATTGAACCAAGACAATAAAACAAAAAACATAATAAAAGCACAACACACACACACACAAAAAAAACAAACAAACAAGAAATCAACCAGCAAAACCTAGCACATGGGGGCCAAACCTTACTAGGGCTTCTATGAATGATTAAGAGCACAAAAACTAAGCATGTGGCAGTGTAAGAGAAGGGGAAATGAGCAAGGCAAAGAATTCTAGTAAAAACTGACAATTCAGAAGTTCAGCTTGTTTCCACAAATGAAAGTAGTGAATGTGCAGCTGGACGGCCTGCACTTGCCCCAAACTTGATAACAGTCGAGGGTTGCGATCAAGAGGTGAAGACACAGGCGACTTGTCGAGACTGGAGCCAATCGGCTTCACAGATTCTGTGAACCAGAAATTCATTCCTATATTGGGGCCTTCACTCATTTCAAGACGCAGGAGTGCAATAGTGGCAGTTGAGATAGCAGCAGCAACAGAAGCAGCTTGCAGTTGCTTCAGATGTCATGGTTTGTGTGTTTTGGTCGCAGTTGCCGAGCTACCTGTGCAAACTTCGTCAAGTCAGGACTAACGAGTTCTTTGCCATTTGCGATTGAGTTGAGTAGCAGCATTTATGCTGCATCCGCATGGTGTGCTCGTTTGCTTTCTTTCTGTTGTATGCCGCATGTTGTTGTTGTTGTTGCTGTTGTTCTGGCTCCTGGCATGCTTGATGTGCTTTGCCGTTTTGCTGTACTTTTGTTTTTATTATCGTTTTAATATATCGCAGAAGCTAAAGGATTCTATCTCCTGACCGTAGTAGCAGCTGGCTTTACTGAAACAGTAGCAGCAAAGACTAGCGAAACTAACAGAATCTGAAGTGATACACTGCTTGAGACATTGGGGAGGGACCTGTTCATCAAAATCTGCTGCTGTGCAGCAGGTTGCTAGCTTGGCGGAGGGTTCAACACGTCATCGTCTGAAATGCCTGCTGAAATCTCTGGGCCAGGTGCTTTTGGTTGACGGACCTCAAGTGGGCGTCACTTGTCACTAGCCAAATGGCCGAAACCAACCGACAAGTTGCTACTGCATCACATTCGCAAGGTCTCTATTGTTTCCTCTCGCATGGACTCCGTATATGGAGCCCACTTGGGTATAGTGCGTCTAGCATCTTGCAGTTCTTTCAGCATCTTAGGCCGAAGCAAAGACAAGCCCATGCAACCGCACCTTTGGCGCGGGTGTTTCTGGCGGTTCTTCGCGTGTCGAAGACCAGTTTTAAAAATTGCAAACCCCTCCGCACAAGTCTCCGGCACGTGCAGCCGGGTCTGCACAAATGGCGCCCGGTGTGTCGGACTTCGACCTTCCGTGAGTTGTGGCAAAAGAAGCGCATCCAAAGATGCTGAGTTACTCGTCGTACTGCACGTACATCTCACTTGAGTTGTACATCATTTCGATCTGCTTCTTGAAAGCATTCCTCAGCATTGGTCTCTCCGCTTAGGAACCTTCGAGTATGCCTCAGCGATGTTTTTCGGTTACTGCATGTCCCTCGACAGCGTCAGACCAGCAACCCTGATGCTTTCGAGCAGGTTAGTAAGTACATGAAAGACACACACACCTGGTGTTTAGTCTCCCCCCCCTTTCGACAACTAGCTTCTCAGATGGCCATGCCCTGCCCGGCCCCGTGCTGCCATACGCACTTCGATCACCGAAGTGTATTCATGGATCCACCACCAGCTTTTAGCCGCACCCTTTGTTGGTTTCGTGCTACTGGATATTGGCCCGGAGAGTGTGCTTTGCCTCATGTTTTCACGTCTCGAACCTGCGTGGCGACAGTGTTTCAGGAAAGCACCCCTGCACCAAGCTCAGCGATGCCCAGCGCAGTCTGCGTCACAGTTTCCACCGTTTCGGCTCCCTTCTGTCTGCAGTTCCTGTTGGGCCTCGCCACTTCAGACCCGCTGCTTCCGGTCACGCCCCGTGTTGCATGCCTAAAGGTACACTGCCCTAATGCTTCTTACTGGTCACAGCTGAGCCAGGTCTCTCCACGATGGCTCTTTTCAACTTCTTCGTGGGCGTAAGGAAGCCCTGCTCCTCTGAAAAGTTTCTGGGCAAGATCATGAACTTTTGGATCTTGAAGGCGTTGTTGGGACAGACCTTGCCGTTTCCATTGGCACTCTTGAGCGCCGCGGAAACAGCCTCGATCCAGGTAGCATCTTTGATCGCCTCGCTGATCTTCGTGACACTCGGATTCACTCTTCGGGCCCCTGCATCTAAGTCGTCGGTCCCTGGAGTCTCTCCATTGGCGCCTACAGCCTTCAAAGTCACCAGTGCAACATTGTACTTGCGCTTGTCGCCAATCATCATTACCTCGTTGATGCCTTGGTCAGGCACGGATGCGCCCTCCGAGAAGCCAAGACTCTAGTTGTAGGCAGTTGCTGGTTGCTCACAAGGCACTTCGGGAGGGTTGCGCAACCCGTACTCGTTCCCTTCATATCAAACACCAAGCCGGAGCCGGAAACGAGAGGCTACACTTAGAGCTGGGGCGCCATCGCAATGGCCTTTGATGTGGTCCTCAATCGGCACCGGGGCAATGTTCTCACCTGGATCTGCCACAAGCCCGAACCAGAAAACAGCTCGGCCCTGCCCCGCTTCCCGGCCTCCCGCGCCGATGATGATCTCCTTGTAGCGGCCGGTGATCTTCACCATCCCTGCTTTGGTGATCATGCCCTTGTCCCCCGAATGCAGCCATCCTTCTCGGTCGATAGTCTCAGCCGTCTTCTTCTCAATCTCCCGCACATGCTCGATCCCCAGATCCGGCTGCGCAAGGTAACCCATCATGATGCTGCGGCCACGGAAGCAAAGCTCGCCCTGGTACGTGTCCTCCGCCGCATCCATGCTCGGGGCTCTCGGACACTCTTCCTTCTTGTTCACGTCTGTCGGGTCGACCTTGAAAGCCTTGACCTCAACTCCAGGAAGCTGGAACCCGCAGGAGCCCCACACGTGGGCTCTATCTGTTGAGACGGTGCAAGCAGCGCAGGATTCCGACATTCCGTAGACTTCGTTGATGGTGATCCCCAAAGACCCGAAGTACTGCAAAGTGTCGACGCGGATGGGAGCCGCCCCGGTAGCGCCGAACTTCAAGCAGTCCAACCCGAGCTTCTCCTTGATCTTCTTCAGGACGACCTGACATCTGAAGATGCGGTGGGGACATCTGTTGAGGCTGAACGGCATCATATATTGTCACAATTGAAACGCACGCTGCCTCCTCCAGGATTAAGGCAGGGGTGCCTCCCCTGCCCTCCCCTCTCTGCTAATGTCAACATGGGGAGGGCAGGGCACGAACCAACCCCGCTGCGCATGCTGCGCCCATGCCACTACGATAGTACGCCAGAGTCCTCTCTCTCTCTCGGACGGGTCAATTCAGTTCCGCTGGCCCACAAGGTCCCCACCATGTTGGTTTGGGCTATTGGAGGGCCGTGAGAACTATATGTTGTGCTTACCTCAGTCCTCTTGGTGTAGACTATTTTGCAAGGGTTTACGCTTCAGGGCACAAGGGACGCAAGGCACATGCAAGTCCCCCGTTGGGGAAAGTGGGATTCCCGGGCATTCGCAACGGACATGCCCCTCTTATAGGCAACAGCTATGAAAAAGGATGTGACTCTCCGAAAAACGGACGATTCCCCGAGAAGAAGGTCCTTTGTTTCTTGTTTCGATTTATCGCACTTTCACGCGTTTCATTGGCCTCCTTTACTCGATATCAAGGTTTAACAATCAGACCCTATCACTGCAACTTGCCGGGAAAGCCCCCGCAGCAGACACTGCTGCGTCCTGCACAAACACTTCACTAGCGGAGCCGCATGGACATGCAACTCAGACTCATGCGGGCATATCCAAAGCTTCAAGGAAGTATGCACCGGCATTCATTTGTTCACTCCCCGGCTGCAGCGTGACAATATGAAGGCTGTGTCATACATGAAGCCATGACGTGGAGGTATTGCGAGCGAGTTCGTCTGAACTCTGCCATGTCTCTCTCTCTCTCTCTCTCTCTCTCTCTCTCTCGCTCGCTCACGCTCTGTCTCTCGGTCTCTCTCTCCGGTCAGGGGGTGCTGGCATCTGCTGGCTCTAAACGGCAGGTCGACCTACCAAAGAGACGCTCCCTTACCCCAAACTCTGCTCGTGGTGCCCAAATTGGAGACAGGAGCCTTGTCAGCAACTCCGTAAGCGAAAGGTGCCACGCCGTCTCCGCCAAGAAGACAGGCCTTGGAGTTTGCCATGCCCTTTTCCTTGGCCCAGGTTGCAATCTTCTTCTTGAGACCCTTCGTGGTGGCACCTATGGCACGGAGCTTGTCCGCGACCTTCTCCCACCTGAGCGCTAGTGAGCCATTACTGATTCAGTCAGGCTCCCTACTGGAAAGAAATGGCACTAGAGCTCCGCAGTAACTGACCAAGCGGCACCAAGGGCACGCCAAGGAAAATCGTGGGTCTGGCTGCACGAAGCCTATCTCCCAGAGACCCGGCTTTGAGGTCGTATGGCCTGGCAAAATACGTCGTCACCCATGCCGGTGTCGTTGCCGTGGCCATAAAAGGGAAGCAAATGTCGACCATCTTACCGGCGACATGCGAGAGTGGGAGATAAGATAAGACCCTCTCCTGTTCGGCCTTTGCGCACAAGCCCATGTGTGCTCTGGCCATACCGAGTACTGTTCGTGTCTCGAAGACCATGCAGTCATGTGATAGCATGACCGCCTTCGGCTCCCCCGTCGTTCCGGAGGTGTAGACCAAGACTGCACAATGACCGGGCTCCACAGCCTTGAGACGAGTTTCGATCACGTCTTCTTCGACGGAGTCTGCCATTGCCAGAAGGCTTGACCAACCGAGCACCGGTATGGAACTTCCTTTCAGCTTGACTGTGTAGTTCCCTGGATCGAATCCGTAGGCCACGAAGGCTTTGATTCGCGAGGGTCCATCAGCACTCTGCATCAGGTCCCCTTGCTTCGTTTCGTTGGATGTCTCGGCCAGACCTTCCAGGCGCTGCGTGAGGGCTGGGAGCAGTCTGTCCAATTTGGACTGGTCTTCAAAGACAACAATGCTCGCGCCACTGTGGACAATCTTGAAGGCTGCGGTCTCTGGTGTATCTGAGGATCATTTGCATGGGACGGTTGCAGCTTAAAGGCGCCTACAGAGGCCTTGCAGACTGTACACAAAAACCAGAGATGCGCTTGTGGCGCAAGCAGGCTTACAGCCCCTCCCGGCCTGTCGGATAAAGGCCACCGACTTTACCTCCTGCAAAGCCAGCGGCCAAGGCGCTGAGCATCCACTCGGGAGCATTGAAGCCCCAGATGGCCAGGGTGTCAAAAGCCTCGCGGTGCACAGCATTGGAGTCAAGTTAGGTCTGTGTGCAAGAGGCACTAGGTCCATCAGTTTCTGATGCTCAGCGATTTCAAGAATTTCTGAGTCTCGCCTCGAAGCCCAGCTTCACGAAGCTGCGGGCAGCCTTTCTGGACTCGTCATAATACTGCTTGTAAGTCCAAACCTTCCACTGCCCATCTTCCAGCACCGGTGGGGCGGATCCATCAGAAAGTAGAGCAGGTAGTGGTCGCTCCACCTTCATGGCTGGCTTGTCCCCCTTCTCCTCAGCTGCCTTCTTCAAGAGCTCTTGCAACGTCGCTGGCGGACATTGGTTCTTGCTTGCCGCTCCACTCTTGGCGAGCCGTGGTGGGATCACGCTGTCTGCGCGGCAGGCGTGCCAGGGCCCAGTCCCTTGGTATGCAAAGAACTCATCAGGATTCGAGGAGACTGGGGCCTCTGAAAGTATTGTGGCTTTGCTGGCTCCGCAACCCATGGCTCGTTCAAAAAGGAGAACCTTGGCAGATCCTGTGGGGAAAGCCAGAATGTCTGGGCCGAAGAGGGGCAAGGGACCAGAGGCGGTATTCACAAGAACAGCAAGATTGCAGCTAGTGCGCAGACGGGTGTCAAGGCCCTGGCAAACAAGGAGCTTTCCACTGCCTGGAGGCTGGAGGCGCATAAGGCCACAGCAAAATCGGGAGCCAGAGAGGCGAAACTTTGGGAACAGTAGGCTAGAGCCCCCTGTGACTATGCGATGCCCCACCAGCGCTGTGCCCTCACGAGGTCTTCGCTTGTGCCTCTTTGAAGCAAGCAAGGTGTATTCTGGCACGACACAGCAAGCGCTGCAAACAGGATAGGGGCAATGCCACACAGCAGCCGCTGCACGTAAGATAGAAACAAACCACACAGCAAGCGCTGCAAACAGGATAGGGGCAATGCCACACAGCAGCCGCTGCACGTAAGATAGAAACAAACCACACAGCAAGCGCTGTAAACAGGATAGGGGCAATGCCACACAGCAAGCGCTGTAAACAGGATCGGGGGCAGTGCCACACAGCAAGCGCCGTAAACCGGATAGGGGCGATGCCACACAGCAACAGCTGTAAACAGGATAGGGGCAATGCCACACAGCAAGCGCTGCAAACACGATAGGGACAGTGCCACAAGATAGAAACAAACCACACAGCAAGCGCTGTAAACAGGATAGGGGCAAAACCACCCAGCAAGCACTGTAAACAGGATAGGGGGAGAGCCACACAGCAAGCGCTGCAAACAGGATAGGGGCAATTCCACACAGCAACCGCAGTAAACAGAATAGGGGCAATGCCACACAGCAAGCGCAGTAAACAGGATAGGGGCAATGCCACACAGCAAGCGTTGCAAAGAGGATAGGGGCAATGCCACACAGCAACCGCAGTAAACAGGATAGGGGCAATGC